CTCTCTCTCTCTCTCTCTCTCTCTCTCTCTCTCTCTCTCTCTCTCTCTCTCTCTCTCTCTCTCTCTCTGTGTGTGTGTGTGTGTGTGTGTGCCCCGCTCCCCACGCTGTACCGTTCAGAACATCGCTCCTCGTTTCCCTCACTGTCTACCATGGAGACCCACAGCCCCTGAATGCCTGATCAATCAGAGGGATATGCTGGCCAATGTCGGCGGGTCAATTAATCACTCAGTTCGTCAACGATCGACGGGATTGATCGCGGAGATCGAGTACCCCGCCAACTCGATATAGAAAGGGTATCGACAGGCCATTAGATTGATCACCTAGCACTCCACAGAGAGATCGTCACGCACAGTAGGACCAGCCTTGATATCGACTAATCTACCCGCAGAGTAGCGACGAGTAAATGTATTAACTATACCATTAATTATGCTACCTCCTGGAATGCTAGAAGCGTAGGAGACAATCGGGAGAGAGACGGGTAAACGAGAGCGGAGAAAAAAACGACAGCCGCGGGGAGGACAGCGGGTGAGAGGGCAAGGAAACAGGACCACCACCCAAGCTTCGGGGAGAAAGAACCGTTCGCGTGAAACGGTACCCCGTCGGCCCGCAGTCGATCGAAAACGATGCCAAATTCAAGTGTTCGAAAATACCGCCAATTCAGCCGAAAAGAGCTCAACAAGCCCTCTGCTTGGGACCTCCGTTCAACCACAGGCCAAGAGAATCTTGGCACATTCTATGGCAAGATACACTCGCCGTTTGGGCATTTGGAGAGTAACGGAATAGGCCGGTCAAGGCAGGAGATTTGAAGAAGGCGGCCGCCCACCCCACATTACACGCCGGTACTGGGAGCACTATCCAGCTTCTCTTAGAGAAAAGTCCTCCAAAGGGCGGAACAACTCGGAAAGGAACATCTTGGTTCTGGAAGGCATGGGGCGACCAACATAGCCCAGGTCCTACCGGCAAACCCGTTCTTTCTTCATGGTTAACGACAAAGCCGACTTAGGCTTGGTGGGGTTTCGACCTTCTTAGTCAGATTGTTCCATTGAGTGAGCAGACAATGTGAAGCTGGCTGAGTATTGACTTATCGTGAGGGCACGGGTGCGCAGCCCATAGTTCGTTTGTTTATGTGGTTCGGGAAGGGTAAGGTAGTGATTATGCTATATGTATGTTTTGTCATGTTCGCTATATATAACTCGAAGAGAGTGCATGTGCGGTCCGGTTGGTGCTTTATTGACGATGTTCATGGGACGCTGGACCCAGTTTCCAACAGGTGGCGCTCCCCATCACTAGACAGGAGAATGTATGTGCGTGTGTATGCGAGTGTGTGTGTGTGTGTGCTGTCTCTTATACACATCTAGATGTGTATAAGAGACAGGTGTGTGTGTGCGCTCGCCTATTTATCTACCTGAGTATATATGTATCTAATCTCCCTGTGTCTCTGTCTATCTTGCTGTCTGTCGATGTAATCGAATCTATTATGGCCTCTCTCTCTCTCTCTCTCTCTCTCTCTCTCTCTCTCTCTCTCTCTCTCTCTCTCTCTCTCTCTCTCTCTCTTCACAAAAGAACGCCTTGCGGACCGTTGACGACAGGCAGGGAACAGGAGGATCGTGGCAGCCTCTTGATACGTATTATGCAAATTGGCAAAGAAAACCAACTGGCCATTGAAGAAAGAGGAGAAAAAGAGGAGACATAGGGGGTAGGGGGTTGTGACAGACCGTTTCGCCAGACTGTGACCGACCCACTAGCAGGCTAAACTCTGACAGTCTGAGGATTCCCACCCTCCCCCCGCTCCCCGACCCCCCTTGACTACCGATCCTTCATACCATAATTTTGCCTTGACCCAAAACCAAAGCGGACAATCACCCACCACACCAGATGTAATCAACCATATATATCGTCACAAATAGAACTGCCCGGTAAACCGTAGGCAGAGAGAGAGAAGAGGACAACAAACGAGGGGCTGTGACAAACTGTTTCGTCGGAGTTTCACCGACTCATCAGGAGGCTGAACCATATATTGTCACACTGGAAATATATATATTGTCACATTGTGAATCAGAGCGCAAAAAAGGGGAAAGAAAAAAGGAAAAGGAAAAAAGGGGGAGGGGGAAGAGGTAAGGAAAGCT